CTACACGCCGTTTTAAATACACCAAAACGACAGAAAGTTCTCTAATTGAAGCTTTAAAAACCCTGGCAAAATCCTCCGTTGAGACTTAGAGAGAGAAGAGTGTGATTTTGTCATTTCTGTGATTCACTGAGAAAAACTCGATAATGTATTCCGTTTCACGCTTCGCGAGGAGGTTCTTTGGGACGCTCGCTTCTTCTCCGGCGACGACGATTCCCAGCGGCGAAGCTTCTGCTTCTGCTTCTGTTTCTGTTCCGAAGACGGCGAAAAAACATCAATCAGTGTACAATAAACTCTCGAAGCTTGGTACAACGAGAGTGAAAATCGAAGAAACGCTTAATCAGTTTATCATTGAAGGTAATCCAGTCAATAAACAAGAACTCATTCGCTACGCTAAGGATCTTCGCACGTATCGTCAACCTCGACGGGCCCTCGAGGTTCTCTTTCTTCCCTTTTGAATTGGTGGATTCATCGAAATTGATCAAAATCAAAAGTTTATGGCGTTTTGAGTTTTTTTTTTTCTTCTAAATTCTGTTTCTTGATTTGAAGATTGGGATTTGTTTTTGATATTTAGGGGAACAATTGGATCGAATTTTGATTTCTTCTAAAGCTTTTAAGGGCACTTATCAATAGTATCATGGACCCATGTTGTAGGTCTTTGAGTGGATGGAAAGAAAGGAAATTGCTTTTACTGGTAGCGATCACGCTATTCGTTTGGATCTTATTGCAAAGACTAAAGGCTTAGAGGCTGCTGAAAACTACTTCAACAGTCTAGATCCCTCCACCAAGAACAAGTCGACTTACGGGTCGCTATTGAACTGCTACTGCGTGGAACGCGAGGAAGAGAAGGCAAAGGCACATTTTGATGAAATGAGTGATCTCAATCTTGTGAGTGGTTCTTTGCCGTTTAATAATCTGATGGCTATGTACTTGCGGCTAGGTCAACCCGAGAAGGTACCTGAGTTGGTTGTTGCAATGAAACAGAGGAGTATTCCCTCTTGTGATATCACTTACTCTATGTGGATACAAAGCTGTGGAAGTTTAAATGATTTAGATGGAGTAGAGAAAGTTCTAGAGGAATGGAAAGCGGTCGGTGAAGGTCGTTTCTCTTGGGATACATATGCTAATCTGGCAGCAATCTATGGTAAAGCCGGTCTCTACAGTAAAGCGGAAGCAGCGCTGAAATCTTTGGAGGAGAAGATGAATCCTCACAGGCGTGATTCCTTTCATTTCCTCATTAGCTTGTATGCTGGGATTTCAAATGCTTCCGAGGTTTATCGAGTTTGGGATTTGCTAAAGAAGAGACACCCTAAAGTCAACAATTCAAGCTGTTTTACAATGCTCCAAGCACTGAGTAAACTCAATGACATTGATGGAATCACGAAAATCTTTACAGAGTGGGAATCAACATGCTGGACTTACGATATGAGGCTCGCTAATGTAATGATTAACAGCTACCTAAAACATAACTTGTACGAAGAAGCCGAGGCTGTTTTCAACGGTGCAATGAAAAAGTGTAAAGGTCAATTCTCAAAGGCTAGGCAGCTTTTGATGATACACCTGTTGAAGACTGATCAGGCGGATTTGGCTCTAAAGCATTTCGAAGCAGCTGTTTCGAATCAAGACAAGAACTGGACTTGGAGCTCAGAGCTGATCCGTTCGTTCTTTCTCCACTTCGAGAAATCCAAAGATGTTGATGGAGCAGAAGAATTCTGCAAAACCTTGTCGAATTGGAATCCTCAAGATTCTGAAACTTACACTCTTCTTATAGAGACTTACATAGCTGCAGAGAAAGCTTGCCCCGGTATGCGAAAGAGATTAGAGGAACAAGGGATCGAAATAGACGAAGAAATGGAAAGTTTGCTTACCAATATTTCCCCATGATTTCATCCTAAATCCGAACTCTGTAAAAGCTTTGCATTTGAAGCTATTTTTTCACAAGAAAAACAAACTACACGACGTTTTTAGCTATATCAAAACGACAAGAAGTTCTATATTGATTTTACTTAAAAACCCTAACCATTTTGTGTAAGTTCTTTCTTCATTTTGGGATCCACTGAGAAAATCAGTATCCGTATAATCCGATGTCGACAGTTTCACGCCTCGCGAGGAGGTTCTATGCGACGGTCGTTGCTCCGACGACGACGACGGCGATAAAGCAACGACCGGTGTACAATAATAACCTCTCAAGCAATGGCTAACTGTCGTCGACCACTCGAGGTTTCTCTCCTCTGAACAAGTGAAATTTCTTAGTTCCATGTCTAATTGAGTTGTGTCTCTCCCAGTTTTGTAATGAACAAACAAAATCACTGATTCTTGTTCCCTTAGAAGAAGGTCTTTGAGTGGACGGAAATAATGGAAATGGATAATTCGGACAGCGATTTTGAATCTTATTGCAAAGAAAAAAGGCTTAGAGACAGCTGAATACTACTTTAATAGTTTAGTCTCTTGTACAAAGAAGAAGCTGAGTTATGGTGCGCTCTTGAATTGTTACTGCGTGGAACTCGAAGAAGAAAATGTATGATCTCGAACTTGTTGATAACACTTCTCCATTCGATAACATGATGGATTTGTACTTGCGGCTTGGTAAACCCGAAAAGGTATTCCCGTTGGTTGTTGCAATGAAACAGAGGAATATCTTCCCTTACTCGCTATGGATGCAGAGCTGTGGAAGTTTAAATGATTTAGATGGAGCAGAGAAGATTCTAGATGAAATGAACACCGACCGTGAAGATAGATCCTCGTGGGATGCGTTTGCTAATCTAGAGCCGGTCTTTACGGTAAAGCGGAATCGGCATTGAAATCCATGGAGAAGAAAATGAAACGTATGAGGACAATGAATCTTTGCAAACGCGATTGCTATCATTTTCTTATGATCTCAAATGTTACCGAGGTTTATCGGATTTGGGGACTGCTAAAGAAATCTCACCCTCAATTCAGCAATGCAAACTATCATGCCGTGCTGCAAGCATTGAGCGAACTCCGCGATATTGATGGAATCAAGAAACTCTTTGCAGATCCGAGGTCCGAAGAAGCTGGCCAATGTAGTGATTAAGAGCTACTTAAAAGAGATCATGTACAAAGAAGCTGAGGCTGTTTTCGAAACTGTCACGAAAATTAAGGTGTAAAGGTACTCGTCCCTTTGTCAAAATTCGGGAGCTTTTGATGATGCATTTGTTGGAGAACGATCAGGCGGATTTGGCTTTGAAGCAATTCAAAGAGGTTGTTTCGGTTACAGTTAAGAATCCATCGAAATGGTGGTCTAAGGTATTGGCTAACAAGGAGGAATTGGCTTGGAGCTCAAACCTGATCCGTTCCTTCTTCTTTCACTTTGACAAAGCTAAAGATGTCGATGGAGCGGAAGAATTCTGCAAAAATTTGGCGAAATGGAGCCCGTTGCCTCTAGATTCCGAAACTTACACTCTTGTTATGAAGATTTACGTAGCTTCAGGGAAATTGTGTCCCTTTATGTGGAAAAGGTTGGAGAGACATGGGATTCAACTAGACCAGGAGCAAGAAGACTTGCTTAGGAAGATTTGCCCTTGATTTTATCGTATCAACATATATATGACTAATTAACCTAATAATGATAAATTTATCTCAAGTCTCTTTTTCTTTGAACTATATAAGAGTCGTTAGAGAACCACATTTGAAGCATTTTGGTTATTAGGTTAACCTTTTTAGCCCCAAGACAAAGCTAGAGAACACATATAATTTTCTAACATAAACGAGTTTCCAAAGTGTGGGTGTTACCAGAAATTCTCGATTTTGAAACAAAATCAGTCGCAAGACCAATACTGTCTAAATTTTGCTGCAATTTTGTAACGAATATCTCAAACTGACGACGAAATATTGTAACAAATCTGTTGTATAACAAAAATAAACTGCAACATAATTTTATTTTTCCATATGTGTATGATGAAATCCGTTTCAAAATATATTTATCGCTTCATAACGAAATATCGAGATAATTTATCCCAAAACTTGATTAATGTGAAAACCTTGTGTGCCACGCGTTGTACTTAATCAACTGTAATCCTTTTGACCTTAATCTAAGAGATAAAAATCCACTAATGGTTGGTTATCTTGATGAAAGTGCGTATTGTCGAGAGATGAAAAGAGGCACGTATAATATTCCACTAAGTTAAAAACCACTGGTACATGAATTATTATAGAGCAAAAGAGTGCATGAGTTTTCTTACAAGTGATCATCATTATAACTAAGTTAGTGCTTATAGAAGACTATATTGCGTATTCATGTCGACCAACGAGCCTATACGCGTTTTCGAGATTTAAGAGTCTTTGAGTGGGTTTTACACTTTATCATGAACCTATGATTAAAGGACGCGTGTGTTTGTTTGTTGATCAAGTTTTGGGCTATAAATAGGGTTCATTGAGGTATGTAATCAAAATAGCTAGTAAGTACCGATTGGGAATCTATAATCTTGATCTGAGTGAGTTTGTGTGTTTATATTAAGAGAGAAAGAGAGAAAACAAAGAGGAAGAGTAGATATGGGGATGTTTGTGAGAAGGGGTTGGGTAGTGGCGTGTATGATGGTATTACTTATGTCGACTCAAGTGTTGGGAAATATATATGGTACGGATAGTCGTCACAATGGCAGAAGCCGACATCATAAAAGTAAAAGAGATGGTGCTGGTGGTGGTGCTGGTGGAGGTGCTCGAGGTGGTGCTGGCGGTGGCATTGGAGTTGGA